TTATTCAAATGCAATTCATTAAATATCTCGAAACATGAAATATATGACTTAGACCACTTTCATAATTATGGGCACAATTATGATTGTTTTCATGTAGAATATGTTTTAATAAGTTTACGTCTGGGTTAACATATGAGGCCCATCAATATTATCACCGATTAGAAGATTATACATCAAATTTACACGTATAATGTAAACGAATTATACATTTTACATGTAACATTGCACTTTATGTTTACATATCAAATGTACGCCTACATTATATTATTTGGGTAAATTTAGATGCTGAATGTTATATTACGCGGACAATGTAATTATACTGTTATTAATTATGGCATAAAAATAACCAATGATTTATGGTGTAAATTTGTATATTAATTTTTTTCAGGGTGGCTGTCGGTTGGATTTTTCTAAATAATCGGCCAAGATGTCTAATTTTTATTTTCATTTGTACCGTTTAATTATACCGCTTAATTTTACCGTTTAATTTTAATTTTCAATCTTACAGTTTAATTATACTGCTTAATCTTGCTGCTTCATTTTAATTTCCAACCATACGGTTTAATTTTAATGATCAACTTTACTGTTTAATTTTAACGATCAACATTACTGTTTAATTTGAATGATCAACTTTACTGGTTAATTTGAATGATCAACTTTACTGTTTAATTTTAATTATCAACTTTACTGTTTAATGTTAATTAGCAACTGTACTGCTTAATTATAATGCTTAATTTTGATTTTCAACTTTACTGTTTAATTATGCTGCTTAATTTTAATGTTTAGCTGTAGTGTTTAATTTTTCTTTTCAATTTTACTGTTTAATTTAACCGTTAAAATTGACGGTGTATTTTTACTTTTAAAACGTGCCGTTTAATATTCACTTTTGATTACAATTCAAGTAATTATAGACATAGGAGGAATCTAGGAGCCGGTTTTTCAATGGAATAACAAGGCTTTGAATTTCTGAACACTTTGATACGTTATTGTCGCAGAGTCATAGACAAAGTGGTATTATGCGTACAAGTTGAATAAATAGTACTTAGTAATATGTAGAATAAATAATAGATGTCGCACGATGCGGATGATTGCCGCGTAACGAGTAGAATACACGCGTATATATACACGGATACATATATATTAGTTTTGTAATAAATAATCCTTAGTTTATACATGGCACAGCAGCGCGTATCTTACAGAGTAGAGTTCGACTTACAATTAGATCTAGATCTGCTATTAATTCGGTGCATTTGGGAAGACAGGGAACGAGTAAAGCTTATTATTAATATTTTAGTCAATATTATCATAATCTTAGATTTTTCATATCTCTTCTCCGTCCTTCCGCGCGAGAAACTGCCCGTTCGGTGGTTTTACATATTACATATTTTAATATCATATAATATAAATACCTCGAAAAATAATAGTATGTATGACTATTCTGGATCCTCGTCAAAGAATCGACCGGTGGTTCTATCTCATTCTAATGGTATTCTAAATAATTTATATACTTTTAGTACATTTTCAATAATCCTCCGTGCTACCTTTGACTGTTTAACAATTGGTACAAATTTTTATTCATCGTAATTACCACAAATTTCAGTTTTTTTTTTATTATCTTCGAATTTAAGTTTAATCCTTGAAGAAAGCGTTCCGTACATCGCGCGCGATTTAACTTAATCTCATTCTAATATTTTTCTAAATAATCCACATGTCTCTGCTACATTTTCAATTATCTTCCACATTGCTTTTAGCCGTTTAACAATTGATAGAAATTTTCATTTATAATAATTAGCCGAAATTTGGGGCTTTTGATTAGATATCCTTGGAACTAAGCTTAACCCTGAAGAAGGCGTACGTTTTGACCTAACAAGGACTCGGACATGATCGATTTATCATTGTTATAAATCGCGCGGTCCACGTAAGGGCGTTTGCTTGTCAATCCTTCGACGACCATCGATAAAAGAGCCTCGTCTCCACCAGACCGACCATCGATCTTGGGCGGACCATTGGTCTCGAAGAAATAGCTGCAGCTAAGGAAGCGTGTAAACGACTGTCGGTCTCGTACAGAACTATACCGAGATTCGTCTGGTCGTTCCCGAGCAATTTCGTTGCACTCCGGAATCGACTTTTAAAAAAGACATACGAGGTTGAGAAGGTCGCGCATCGGAAGAGATTTCTGTCTGATATAAATAAATAATCGATCACTTATTGCCAGTAACAGGAATCTCGTAGTATCTATTCGATTTTTCCTAAGTAAATTGATAACGTGTATTGCTAGAAACAGAATTTTCCCCATAGTACATGTTCGATTAATCTCCGATAAAGCCTTCGATTTTAACAAATATCGTCTCCTTTTAAAAAAGTTTTAAAAAAGACATACGAGGATTAGAAGGTCGCGCATCGGAAGAGATTTCTGCCTGACATAAATAAATAATCGATCACTTATTGCCAGAAACAGGAAGCTCGTAGTATCTATTGGATTTATCCTAAGTAAATTGATAAAGTGTATTGATAGAAACAGAATTTTCCTGATAGTGTATGTTCGATGAATCTCCGATAAAGCCTTTGATTTGAACAAATATCGTCACCTTTTGAAAATGTTTTAAAAAAGACATACGAGGTTTCTGTCTGGCGTAAATAAATAATCGATCACTTATTGCCAGAAACAGGAAGCTCGTAGTATCTGTTAGATTTATCCTAAGTAGACTGATAAAGTGTATTGATAGAAACAGAATTTTCCTGATAGTACATGTTCGATTAATCTCCGATAAAGTCTTCGATTTTAACAAATATCGTCACCTCTAAAAATGTTTTAAGAAAGACATACGAGGTTTCTGTCTGACGTAAATAAATAATCGATTACTTATTGCCAGAAACAGGAAGCACGTAGTATCTATTGGATTTCTCCTAAGTAAATTGATAACGTGTATTGCTGGGAACAGAATTTTCCTGATAGTACATGTTCGATTAATTTCCGATAAAGCCTTCGATTTTAACAAATATTGTCACCTTTTGAAAATGTTTTAAAAAAGACATACGAGGATGAGAAGGTCCGCGCATCGGAAGAGATTTCTGTCTGATATAAATAAATAATCGATCACTTATTGCCAGAAACAGGAAGCTCTTAGTATCTACTCGATTTTTCCTAAGTAAATTGATAACGTGTATTGCTAGAAACAGAATTTTCCCGATAGTACATGTTCGATTAATCTCCGATGAAGCCTTCGATTTTAACAAATATTGTCACCTTTTGAAAATATTTTAAAAAAGACATACGAGGATGAGAATGTCGCGCATCGGAGGAGATTTCTGTCTGATATAAATAAATAATCGATCACTTATTGCCAGAAACAGGAAGCTCTTAGTATCTATTTGATTTTTCCTAAGTAAATTGATAACGTGTATTGCTAGAAACAGTATTTTTCGGATAGTACATGTTCGATTAATCTCCGATAAAGCTTTTGATTTTTAACAAATAATGTCAAATTAAATTCAGTATTTTTCCGAACAGTCATCATCTTTGTTATTCCGAATAGGAAAAATACTTCCGCAAAGAGAACGTAGATCTTCTCAGAGGCCTCTTCTTCGATGACCGCCACTTCCGGTGCGACGTCTTTGATGAAAAATTATCTCCGGTATAATTTTCGTATCCTTGGAAACGACTTTTAAAAACGATATACGACGAAGAGGAGTTCGTCCACCGAAAATATCTCTTCAAAGTAAATGAATAATCGACCATGTATCGCAAGAAACGGGAAGCTCTTGATAATAGCTGTCCAATTATTCCCCGATAAAGCGTTAGATTTTTGCCAATTCCGTGAAATTAATTAAATTAAATAAAGTATCTTTCTCGGTAGTAATTTCCTTCGATGTTCCCATTAGCGAGAAAACATTTCCGGGAGAAGTTACGCTTCCTCTTCGAAGACGTTGATCTCTTCAGGGGCCTCTTCGTTGATCTCTTCGACGGCCGTCACTTCCGGTGCGGTTTCTCCGACATCGGAAGTCACCTCGGTGGTCGCATTGTCGCCGACGAGCGGCTCTTCCGGTATCGTTTCCTCGCCCCCGGAAGTTACATCGGGTGCAGCCTCCTCGCCTCCGGAAGTTACCTCGGGAGGTGCGTCTTCGCCCCCGGATGTCACCTCCGGTCCCACTTCCGGTGCCGCTTCATCACCCCCGGAAGTGACTTCCTCCACTTGGACCGAATCTCCTCCCTGCTGGATGCTGTCTGCATATTCGGGGTCCACCGCGTAGGGCTCTTCTTCGGCGACTTCGTGTTGTACTTCCTCTTCCTCTTCGATCTGATAGATTAAAAAAGACACAATTTTATTTCTAATAATGCGGATATAATTTTAAGAAAATAGCAGGTGTAAAACGTTATAACAAGCACCCGTTCTCACAAGGAAGGTATCCCAGGTCGATCTCTCCGATTTCATTTCTTTTATAATGTGTTATAGTAGACTAAAAACCAAGCGACACGTATTTTTNATTTTCATTCTCTCGTAATGAAATTAGACTATTTATAACGTATTATAAATTTATTTTGAGATAGAGATCTCTCGCAAAGCGAATAGTAAAGCGCTACAAGGTGCGGGCCGATATACCGGCTCTGGCACTTTTCGTCAGTGCAGCGAGGGCCGATATATCGTCCTTCGGCACTAAAAGGGTTAATATGAAGACGTATTGTTATTTTCATTCTCTCGTAATGAAATTAGACTATTTATAACGTATTATAAATTTATTTTGAGATAGAGATATCTCGCAAAGCGAATAGTAAAGCGCTATAAGGTGCGGGCCGATATATCGGCTTTGGCACTTTTCGTAAGTGCAGCGAGGGCCGATATATCGTCCTCCGGCACTAAAAGGGTTAATATGGCGACGTATTGTTATTTTCATTCTCTCGTAATGAAATTAGACTATTTATAACGTATTATAAATTTATTTTGAGATAGAGATCTCTCGCAAAGCGAATAGTAAAGCGCTGCGAGATATCTCTATCTCAAAATAAATTTATAATACGTTATAAATAGTCTATTTTCATTCTCTCGTAATGAAATTAGACTATTTATAACGTATTATAAATTTATTTTGAGATAGAGATCTCTCGCAAAGCGAATAGTAAAGCGCTGTAAGGTGCGGGCCGATATATCGGCTTTGGCACTTTTCGTAAGTGCAGCGAGGGCCGATATATCGGCCTCCGGCACTAAAAGGGTTAAATATATAGAAAATATAGGAGAAACACTTTGTGCTACTAGGGCATTTTCGGTTTATTGGGTGGATATTAGTAGATCATTACCTGAACATCGTCATCACTGTAAGGCTCGACGGTTCTCTCTTCCCTCTCTATCTCCGTCTCTTCAGGTTGTGCCGGTCTCCCGGTGCAAACGGTCGGGACTTTAGCACCTTCCTGGGTGTCTCCGTTCAAGCCGATTATAGAGGCGAGCTCCTTTTCTTCCTCCAACTGTTTCTTGGCCTCCTCTTCGGCTTTAGCGATCGCGATTCTTTCCTCCTCGGCAGCCACGGCCGCCGACTCGAGCTCGGCTGCGACCCTGAATAGAGAAAAAGCTCCCTTTGAAACTCTCTTCCGAACAAAGTAATGACTTCTTGCATTTACATATAGAGAAGGTGTCCATATTTCGGATGGTGCCTTAACCCTTTCGCTACTAACGGTGACTATAGTCACCCAAAGCCTGACGCTCGCTAAGAAGTATCTTTCTTCATTTGTTAGATATTGCCGTTTGGAATTCTTATTGTTTATATAAATACGAAACACCCAAAGATATTTCTATAGCTGCTTTTCATCTTGAATTAATAAGATAAATATTACGGAAATACCATTTAACCCTTTCGTTACAAACGGTGACAATAGTCACCCAACGCCTGACGCTCGATAAGAAGTATCTTTTTTCATTTGTTAGATATTACCGTTTGGCGTTTTTATTGTTTATATAAATACAAAACACCCAACGATATTTCTATAGCTGCTTTTCATCTTAAATTAATAAGACAAATATTACGGAAATACCATTTAACCCTTTCGTTACTAACGGTGAATATAGCCACCCAAAGCCTGACGCTCGCTAAGAAGTATTTTCTTCATTTTTTCGATATTGCCGTTTGGAATCCTTATTGTTTATGTTAATATGAAACACCCAAAGATATTTCTATAGCTGCTTTTCATTTTGAATTAATGGGGCTAATATTACGGAAATACCATTTAACCCTTTCGTTACTAACGGTGACTATAGTCACGCAAAGCCTGACGCTCGCTAAGAAGTATCTTTCTTCATTTGTTAGATATTGCCGTTTGGAATTCTTATTGTTTATATAAATACGAAACACCCAAAGATATTTCTATAGCTGCTTTTCATCTTGAATTAATAAGATAAATATTACGGAAATACCATTTAACCCTTTCGTTACTCACGGTGACTATAGTCACCCAACGCCTGACGCTCGCTAAGAAGTATCTTCTTTCATTTGTTAGATATTGCCATTTGGAATTTTTATTGTTTATATAAATACGAAACACCCAAAGATATTTCTATAGCTGCTTTTCATCTTCAATTAATAAAATAAATATTACGGAAATACCATTTAACCTTTTCACCCAACGCCTGACGCTCGCTAAGAAGTATCTTTCTTCATTTGTTAGATATTGCCGTTTGGAATTCTGATTGTTTATATAAATACGAAACACCCAAAGATATTTCTATAGCTGCTTTTCATCTTGAATTAATAAGATAAATATTACGGAAATACCATTTAACCCTTTCGTTACAAACGGTGACAATAGTCACCCAACGCCTGACGCTCGATAAGAAGTATCTTTTTTCATTTGTTAGATATTGCCATTTGGAATTCTTATTGTTTATATAAATACCAAACACTCAATGATATTTCTATAGCTGCATTTCATCTTTAATTAATGGGACTAATATTAAGGAAATACCATTTAACCCTTTCGTTACTAACGGTGACTATAGTCACCCCACGGCTGACGCTCGCTAAGAAGTATCTTCTTTAATTTGTTAGATATTACCGTTTGGAATTCTTATTGTTTATATAAATACCAAACACCCAAAGATATTTCTATAGCTGCTTTTCATCTTGAATTAATGGGATTAATATTACGGAAATGCCATTTAACCCTTTCGCTACTAACGGTGACTATAGTCACCCAACGCCTGACGCTCGCCAAGAAGTATTTTTTTCATTTATTAGATATTGCCGTTTGGAATCCTTATCCCCTACACGTTAAAAGATACGTGAGTGAAGTGAGCGAAGTGAAATTTAAGGGCGTCTTCGTTGGGATTGCCTCGTACCGAGGCATCGCTTCTACGAGCCGTAACGAAAAGCTTAATTTCGAATAGCCTAATAATTCGTAACCCAGTCACTAGATCGCGCTGCTAACAGCAAACAACAGGAGCTCTCGCCGCCATATTAAATCTGTGTTGTCGCCGTGAGCGTTAAGGTGATGTGAAAGTGGCATATGTTATTTATAGGAGGGAACGGAGTTATATCCTTAACCTGAGGTTTAATATTTTTAATTCTACACGCTAAAGACAAAATGGTATCCGAAATATGGACACCTTCCTCTAATTCCAACAATGTACATTTCTTTCGGTCAACTAATTTTTATTCTCAGGGCATTTTTCGGTCAATGGTGGTGCGTCGAATTTCTCTTTACTTTTCTCAAATGACAAAATATCGGTGTTAGGAATCTCTTAAAAAATCCAAGCGTCGTTTCTCTCACCTCTCTTCCTCTTGTATCCTTTCTTGCTCCCGTCTGTTCGCCGCCACTTTCTCATCTTCCACCCTCCTCACGTAAGCCTGTCTCTCTTGTTCGACGATCTCAGCCTCCCTGGCCTCTCTCTCAGCCTTCTCCAGGATCAGCCTGGCTTCCTCTTCTTCTCTTTCGAGCCTCAGCCTCTCCTCCTCAGCTTCCTTTCGCCTCTGTTCCTCCAATCTTTCGTGAGCAATGCTAGATTTTATTAGTCATTTTTCGCCGCTCAAAGCTGATCAAATATGGCAGCCCCTGATAAAACGTTAACGTGAAGTGAAACCCCCCTCAAATCAGTCGATTTAAATAAGACACCTTTTTTTTAAGGGTATTGGATCGAACTGTCCGATACTTTGACACATTACTCATGAGCACCTAGGAATTATCCTGACACTTTCAAAATTTGGATTTTTGAAAAAAATTGTTAACTTTGCCTAGACCAGAACTAAAATCTTTACCCTATTTACTTACGAAGATTTTACGAGATTCATGACATTCGAGCACATTATTAAATAAGTAATCGATTAATGAATAACAAAAGTAGCTCAAAATGTGGAATTGAGCGGCCATGATGTACTATTAAAGTGAAATGAAACCCTCCTCAAATCAGTCGATTTAAATAAGACACCTTTTTTTTTAAGGGTATTGGATCGAACTGTCCGATACTTTGACACATGACTCGCGAGCACCTAGGAATTATCCTGACACTTTCAAAATTTGGATTTTACAACAAATTTTTTTTACTTAGCCCAGACTAAAACCAAAATCTTTACCCTATTTATTACGGAGATTTCATGAGATTCATGACATTCGAGCACGTTATTAAGTAGTCGATCAACGAATAACAAAAATAGCTCAAAATGTGGAATTGAGCGGAAATGATATACTATTAAGGTGAAGTGAAACCCTTCTCAAATCAGTCGATTCGAATAACACACTTTTTGTTAAAGGTATTGAAAAAAATGTCAGAAACTTTGACTCATGACTCGTGACTGCGGTACGGGAATTTTTCTCGTATAACGCACGTAATGTGTTTTGTTATCTGCCACGTTATATGAAGAATCGCGTCACATCAACTAATCCTTCATTACAGATTTTGCCTCGAATGTTGGGGTAATCAGCCTTAAGGTGAAGTGAAACCCTCCTCAAATCAGTCGATTCGTAAGAGACACCTTTTGTTATGGGTATTGTATCGAACCGTGTGAAACTTTAACAGAATGAGCAGAGACTCGTGAGCACCTAGGAATTACCCTGACATTCAAAATTTGGATTTTTGAAAAAAATTGTTAACTTTGCCCAGACCAGAACTAAAATCTTTACCCTATTTAATTACGAAGATTTTACGAGATTCATGACATTCGAGCACGTTATTAAATAAGTAATCGATTAATGAATAACAAAAGTTGCTCAAAATGTGGAATTGAGCGGAAATGATGTACTATTAAGGTGAAATAAAACCCCCCTCAAATCAGTCGATTTAAATAAGACCCCTTTTTTTAACACTATTTCTACCAAAAGTGTCAAAAGACACCTTTTAAATTATTTTCAAAGTTTAATAATTTTTTCTCAATTAATGTTTTGAGTTTTCGTATAATAATTGTTAAATTTATTTAGCGGTATAATTCTTCCAGCTCATCATGGATCTATATAAGACACCTTTTATCTATATAAGACACCTAAGGCTATCAGCCTTAAGGTGAAGTGAAACCCCCTTCAAATCAATCGATTCTAATACAACACTTTTTTTAAGGGTATTGGACCAAATTGTCTGAAACTTTGACACATTACTCGTGATCATCTAAGAATTGTCCTGATACATTCAAAATTAGGATTATTGGAAAAAAACTTCAGACCAGAATCAAAATGGCGTCGAGCTCTCATATTTCGATCAATATACAATTATCGAAGGGTCTGATATCAGAAACGAAAGGGTCAGGACAATTTTACGACAATTTAGAACACTTTGGTAATCGATAAACTCGCATTTGAACGGGATAAAGGCAAAAAAAGTGTTGTATGCGCTTCTATGCTAAAACGATGGGAATACGAGGTCTCGGAGTGAAAATTTAATTGACCTGGAAATCACAGATGGCGCAGGGGGTCCCTCTGCAGTCAATTAGGGCCCCAGAAAGCATGAATCCAGAGGATTTCTGGAGTTTTACTTCGATTTCTTTATAATTACTGTACGAAAACGACAGGTGGAGTATGCCATTTGGTACAATACCGAATATAATTTGATCCAGCTGTCAATATAAAAACGAACGTCGGCAACGTAGGTATTTAGAAAAGTCTTCTTTATCGACGTCGATCAAGTTCCTCGGCGTGTTTCACTTCACCTTAAAGTGTTTCCAGAATCTGGGACACGGGTCAGGGACTTTTGATTAAAAAATAGAAACGGGAGTCACCTGTTTTCCTCGGCTTGTCGGATCAGCAGCTCCTCGGCTCTTCTCAGCGCCACTGGAACGAGATGAATATTTATTAATATTTTCTTCTTCTCGTCATAGGTACCTGAAAGCTATACCGTACTAATATAATCATTGGACGAGTTTTTATCATATATGTTGTTTAGAGTTTATATCTTGGGGAGGGTACAAAGTGGAGTATATCCACAGGGCAACAATGGTAAGGGACGTGTACTGTTTTTGTTATACTCTTTTTTCATACTTCCAAGGGTGAGCTATGTCATGTACAACATTAGGAACTTGTGAAACGGGAACATTTTACAAATAAACGGCGTCAACATGAGACCGACAAAAAACGGGGAGATTCGTGTAACGAGACAAAATCTGAGGACGATGTCACCTGTTCTGTTGCGTAGCGTTTTCTCTATTTCGGGGAAAGTATTTTTTTTTCGGACCAGTGATGGGCAGACTCAAAAAATGGAATATCGATGGTTTAATTCTCTTCCACTTGTAAAACATTGTACCATAAAAACATGAATAATAGTATATAATCAGATACTACGAGATCGTACATCATGAATAATTCATTGGTACTGCAAAGCATGATACAAAAGTAGGAATAATACTACATATTCATGTACTACAAAATCATAAATTATGAAAAATGAACCGATACTACAAAAAGTGCTACAAAATCATGAATAGTACTATATAATCATGTACTACAAAATCATGAATAATACTATATAATCATATACTACAAAGTCAAATATCATGAAAAATTAATTGATATGACAGAAACATGCAACAAAATCGTATTTCATAAAACATAAAGAATGAATTAATACTACAAAAAGTGTTACAAAATCATGAATAATACTATATAATCATGATCTACAAATCATGAATAGTACTATATAATTATATACTACAAAATCATAAATCAAGAAAAATTAATTAATATTACAGATACATGCAACAAAATCATATTTCATAGAACATGAAGAATGAATTGATACTACAAAAAGTGCTATAAAATCATGAATAGTAGTATATAATCATGTACTACAAAATCATGAATAATACTATATAATCATATACTACAAAATCATACATCATGAAAAATTAATTGATATTACAGAAACATGGAACAAAATCATACTTCATAAAACATGAAGAATGAATTGATACTACAAAAAGTGCTACAAAATCACGAATAGTACTATGTAATCATATACTATAAAACCATAAATCATAACAAATTAAATGGGAGAAGTTACAGATAATAATTCATGAGAAATCGCGACGTTTTGCCCATCTCTGTTCGTGACTTACCTTCTTTCTCTTTATCCCTCTTATCTTTCTTCTCTTTCTTCTCCTTTTTCTCCTTCTTTTCGACTATCGGTTCCGGCTCTGGTATCGGTTCTGGTTCAGGTTCTGGTTGCGCCTCTGGTTCGGGTTGCGCCTCCACTTCCGGTTCAGGCTTGGCTACGATTTCCGGCGCGGGCTCAGCCGCGACTTCCGGTTCTTGGACGGGAACTAATAGGTTAACGACGTCAAGGGGTTACACGAAACAAAGAGAGACACAGAAGAAAGGGGACTTGGAAATTTACAAATTTACAAATTTACAAATTTACAAATTTCTTCGGGGTTTGGTTTTACCTTTTGTCGCAGTTGGCTTCCAATCGGTTTCCAGGGCTCGTGCTAAAATTGGGGAATGCATTCACGTCAAAATATGCGATCACAGAGAAATGTGGACATTTACTGTACAAAAGCCATGAGCTAAAGCTAAGAAAATTAATTTTTTTTTACCAAAGAAACAATTTAATCTTGGCTATTAAATGAATTTGCCTTTACTATTTCCTGTTTTAACGTTCTGCGATTTAACTCTCACATAAGTATTACCGAGTTTATATATAACATATTAAGGTGATATGAAAGGGTCATTATGTATATATAAAACGTGAAAATATTTATACATGTTTTCTCCGAACTGGGGGCACCGAATTATTTGAAACTTTAGCACATGATTGTAGAGGCCCTAAGGAAGAACGCGATGCTCCTAGAATTTCATTTTTCACAAAAAAAATGTGATCTTGGCTCTAGTATAGGCTAAATAAATAAAAATGCGAAATTTCACGAGCATCGCGTTATTCCTTAGGGCCTGCGTAATCACGTGTTAATGATTCAGATTATTTGGCGCACCCTGATTGGAGAAAGATTTTATAAATATTTTCACGTTTTGATATATATAGATTGACTCTTTTATATCACCTTAAGGTGGGCCCGAAAATTGGGCCGGTCTCGAGAGTGCATCTTACTGCACCTTAATACACTTTATTGCACCTTAGTGCACCTTAGTGCATCTTAGTGCATCTTAGTGCATCTTAGTGCATCTTAGTGCATCTTAGTGCATCTTAGTGCATCTTAGTGCATCTTAGTGCATCTTACTGCATCTTACTGCATCTTACTCCACCTTATTGCACCTTACTGCACCGCGTTGCACCGACGAGTGGAAATCGCGTTCACCGGCACGCAAGGTGCAGAAAACCGCCGAGTAACTGGCTATCGCGGGCGATCGATCAACTTCGGATTTGATAACCTTTCGGATACCGTTGAGTGCCGATTATCCGAAATAATGGAGTTATAATTCATTGGCCGAAACGTTGGGAAAGGTCTCATTAGAGCCGCCACTCGGAGGTTGTTCATTGCCTGTGCTGGGCGTTGTCATATGAAAAGTCGATTTTCGCTTGTCACGCCAATCGGGCGGACGCATTATGTCCAAACAAATGCCTACTATCTAATATGTATCCCGATGTATGATCAGGATATAAAGATAAGTGACGGGAGCTTTGAAGGGGCGGAGCTTTTGGAAAATGTCTATTTGCCGACAGTGTTGGACGTAAAGCGAGTCGCCTTAACACTATTTCTACCAAAGGTGTCAAAAGACACCTTTTAAAATTTTAACTTGAAATTATTTTCAAAATTTAATAATTTTTTCTTAGTTAATGTTTTGAGTTTTCGTATAATAATTGTTAAATTTATTTAGCGGCATCATTTTTCTCCAGCTCATCAAAACCTTTTGGTCGAAATAGGTATACGCAAAATCGTGGTAGAAATAGCGTTAAGGACATCGGTTAGAACCGAGTCGCCTTGAAGAGCATCGCCATGAAGCAAATCGCCTTAAAGAGCGTCGCCTTGAAGCGAGTCTCCTTGAAGTGGAGTCGCCTTGAAGAGCAACGCTTAGATCCGAATCGCCTTAAAGAACGTCACCATGAAGCGAGTCGCCTTAAAGAGCATCGCTTAAAACCGAGTCGCCTTGAAGAGCATCGCCGTGAAGCGAGTCGCCTTGAAGAGCGTCGCTTAGATCCGAGTCGCCTTAAAGAACGTCGCCATGAAGCGAGTTGCCTTAAAGGGTATCGCTTAAAACCGAGTCGCCTTGAAGAGCATCATCGCCATGAAGCAAATCGCCTTAAAGAGCGTCGCCTTGAAGCGAGTCTCCTTGAAGTGGAGTCGCCTTGAAGAGCAACGCTTAGATCCGAATCGCCTTAAAGAACGTCACCATGAAGCGAGTGTATTTTAGGTGGAGTCGCTTTGAAGAGCAACGCTTAGATACGAATCGCCTTAAAGAACTCCATGAAGCGAGTTGCCTTAAAGAGCATCGCTTAAAACCGAGTCGCCTTGAAGAGCGTCGCCGTGAAGCGAGCCGCCTTAAAAAGCGTCGCTTAGATCCGAATCGCCTTAAAGAACGTCTCCATGAAGCGAGTCGCCTTAAAGAGCATCGCTTAAAACGGAGTCGCCTTGAAGAGCATCGCCGTGAAGCGAGTCGCCTTAAAGAGCGTCGCTTAGATCCGAGTCGCCTTAAAGAACGTCGCCACGAAGCGAGTCGCTTTAAAGAGCATCGCTTAAAACCGAGTCGCCTCGAAGAGCATCGCCGTGAAGCAAATCGCCTTAAAGAGCGTCGCCTTGAAGCGAGTGTCCTTTAGGTGGAGTCGCCTTGAAGAGCGACGCTTAGATACGAATCGCCTTAAAGAACTCCATGAAGCGAGTCGCCTTAAAGAGCATCGCTTAAAACCGAGTTGCCTTGAAGAGCATCGCCAAGAAGCAAATCGCCTTAAAGAGCGTCGCCTTGAAGCGAGTCTCCTTGAAGTGGAGTCGCCTTGAAGAGCGACCGCGCGCGAAATTACTCGGCCGAACGTAGAGCGGAGCGCGATCGTCCGGATTACAGCGGAGTCGATTATTACCGGGTGTTCGGCGCCGTCTTGGAGGCGTATCGAGCTTCGTATCGAATCCCCGGGGATGTCTTCCTAATGGCTCAATCCTAATTCCAGCCTCTCCTTGCCCGCCGACTGGAGAGAGACTTCGCTCTCGCCCGGCTTCTTACAGGGCCGAGGCATTTAGGAGACAACGGCGAAGATTCCCGGGAGCGAGAGGCCCCGTTCTGATATCGCGGAAATTGATATGCCGGGAACAACGACGGCGCATTGTTGGCACCCGGAAACCCGGATGAGCCGGGATAATTACGCCTTACGTCTCGGATTAATCTCATTCAATTATTGTCCGCGCTGAGAGGAGGTTAAGCTTCCGGAACGGTTCTACTTAGACGTAGAGTTGATAAAATCGTGATTTCTTAAGGGAAAAAAAAAAAAAAAATGAAGATAAAATCACGATTAAAATTGCGATTTTTCTTTTAAGTATTTTAATTGAGTAATCTCGGTCAATTATTGCCCCTCCCTGACCTAACCTAACCTCCAGTTAAGCTCCCGGAACGGTCCCACCTGGAGGTAGGATTGATAAAATCGTGATTTCTTTAACCCTTTGGCTACTAAGAGCGCCTAAAGGCGCCCGACGTTTGGTCCAATATTGCCTGCACGGTCAGACGAATTTCGCCCATATGTCGAAATCGCTCCGTGTTCAAAGGGCCAAATATTTCCTTGGTTCATTGAAATTCTTTTTAATAATTATTCTCCGAATTAACGAAATATTTCTTTGGCGCTATATAATTAACACTTTGGCTACTTAGAGCGCCTAAAGGCGCCCGATGTTTGGTCCAATATTGCCTGCACGGTCAGACGAATTTCGCCCATATGTCGAAATGGCTCCGTGTTTAAAGGGTTAAAGAAGTGAAGATAAGAAACATTTTGATTTATAGGATCACGATCGAAATAATAATTTTTTAAGTATTTCACTTATTCAAGGAACGTTTCACTTGGAAGATTAGATTAAATCGAGTTACTCATTAAGTACTCTAATTTGTTTTCGCGCGTCGAGAACATGAATCATCGTCTGATAATTCTCATTTTGCGTACTCATCTACATATATAAAATGAATATCTTCTTAATACATACGTTCTACATGGTTTGTAGATTCGACTATTAAGATTAGACTAGGTGTTCGAAAAGCACCTAAAATAAGTATTCACGGTTAAATATCGAAATAGTTCAGATTTGTATGAAACGTTGCAAACGTTCAATGAATGAAATAATTAAAAAGTATGTCCGAAAAGCGAATCGCGTGGGCGATCACACGCGCGTCCTTGCCTAGAGTCAGGGATCGCTGCGAGAGTGAAAAAAATAAAAAAATAATAAAAGTTGGGAAAATTGTGAGGAATTTCATTACACCGCGAGGTCGGTTAAATTATATCGTAGGTCGGTAATAATCTGGCTCACTCTCCACTTCGTTGTAATGAAATGAAATGAATGAAATAATTAAAAAGTATGTCCGAAAAGCGAATCGCGTGGGCGATCACACGCNTCATATCACCTGCATTACTAAAAAGTATCGAAATTTTGTAACATTTTATACATACATATATACTCTCGCAAGATTATAACATACCGTTTCAAAAGTAAATAATAATAATAAAAGTTGGGAAAATTGTGAGGAATTTCATTACACCGCGAGGTCGGTTAGACTATATCGTAGGTCCGTGATAATGTGGCTGACTCGAAATGAAATGAAATAAATGATATAATTAAAAAGTAAATCCGTGCACTTGCCACGCCGGTGCATGGTCACTTTTGGGGGAGAGAGGTGGAGAGATAAGGGCGGACGGAGATAGAGATTAACGAGCACATCCGGTCCCGGCGATCAAAGAGATCCGAGCGCGTCTCGCTGCGGAGAGAAAAAAAAAAAAGGACCGACGGAGGAACCGCCGCGGAGAGCGGCTCGGACTCCTCGCGACCTAACCTAGATCCCGTCCTCGGGCGTGGACGCATTCCGGGATATCTCGCGTCCTGATGAAAAATGAAATTTTATGAGTTCCGGGACTTATTTTAGGGCCTCCGTATTCACGTGGTAAAATTTGAAGCGAATCGGTACACCCGATTTCGAGAATACTTTCCCCGACAATTTGACTTCTCAGATATATAAATATAAATAAATAAATAAATATATATATGAAAACGGCCCTGAGGACCACTTGTGCAGAAATTTATTTGTACGTGGATAAGGCCAATTTATCACGCAATGTCCTCAGGGACGAGCGCGGAAAGGACGCGCGGGAAAACCGCGCGCTACGCCCATCTATTAGAACGCCATTAGGTTTTAATAATCCGAGCCGAGTAATTAGCTCTCGTTACTACTTCGGCGAGGGTCGACACCTAAACCGGCGCGTAATGGCCGCGTGATAAATGGGCCGACGCGGCACCTGGCCTGCCCCTCTTCGCGGGGGATCCGGAATGTTGAGGTTATGTTTGTTGCCTGGAGCGCAGGAGTTATTATGTAAACAGGAATGCACGTGAACGGAAGAAGACATCCGCATTACTGGCGCAGGAAATTCTAGTCTAGAGGTGAATAAAC